CAACAACAACAGCAACAACAACAACAACAACAACAACAACAAGTACAACACTTTCACTACGACCACCACCACCAACAAAACAAATACACAAGCAAACAAACAAACAAAATTATCAACACGAAAACAAAACTACAAACAGCAGGTGGTTCCTTGTTAACTGCAGGAAGAAAAGATGACCGATGGTGACTGTCTGTAAGGAGCAGAGGGAGAAGATGGCTGGAGAGATGGGACGTGAGGTAGAGAGAGAGAGAGAGAGAGAGAGAGAGAGAGAGAGAGAGAGAGAGAGAGAGAGAGAGACGGATGATGACATTGTAGGCTGTAAATAAACTGATGTGACTGATGCCATGAAAGTCAACTCTTCAGAGTTAACAGGGCGGAGATTGTAACCCTCAGAGGAGGGGATGACGGCCAGACGCTATCCCATACTGCACTTCCAGACTATAAACCGGAAGACGACGATGAGCAGAGACAGGTAGAGATCGATAAACTATCATAGACATTTACCTGGACAGAATAATCGGGGGAGATGAGACTACCTGTGGAATAAAGAGACACTGTTGGATAAGCGAGGAATGCGAAAAGAAAAGTGTAAATAAGTCTTTAAACAATGTCTGGCGCTTCCTGGGGGAGATAATGAGCCAAATAATTGTTGAAGAAAACAGATAAAGGGAGAGCAGAAATATTATTAAATTAGAAAGAATGGAAAAGGGGTGGCAATGAAAAGAGGACGGTGTTGGCGTTACAAGAGCCAGGGTTTCCATTAATGTCACGTTTGATAAAATTAAATACCGAATAATTTGAAAAGCAAGTTTTTTAAGAAAGCAAAAAGAAGACCCGGCCCCTGGTGAACGCATTGGGAAAAGAAACGTAGCGAAATTGCTTTTGTGCAAAAATCTCTGATAAAATGCAGGATTGGCGGGGGGAAATGTGGGATTTGAGTACGTACGACGAATCTTGGTGTTGTTGGATTTTTTTTTATATTTGGGAAGGGCGTTGTCATTGGAGTTGTTGTTGTTGTTTTTTGGGGGGTTTTTTGTAGTTGCTTTCTTATGACACATTTACATGAAAGCGGACGGGCAGGGGTGTCCATTATGGTGTGTTCTTTCTGTCAGATAAATATTAAGTATATGGACATGTTTTATCTTGTTTTGATGTTTGTTTGCCTAACTTTTACGTCTATTTTTTTTTCAATTTGGAGAACCATTTTGCTATGGCATTATCACCATGTTTTCCGTCACAGAAAAAAAAGGAAAAGACCAGGCTATTGCACTTACAATCAATTCATAATCATCAGTTTTGAAAAACGAAAGCGATGTTACATAGAACACATTACACCCCGAGCAGTACCATCTCCAAAGATCGAAAATAAATGTTATTACAGATTACGTATCGCGTAATGAGGACTCTGGGCGACAAGTTTCAGCAAAGGGGCATCAACAAAGCTGCCGCTGTCGACAGTAATGCAGAACATAGCGGCGAGTTGCTTACACAAGTGGTTGCGGCCCCTTTCTGGTAAATTTCTTGTTCCGTTGTAAATAGTGGAAGGAACAGAAAGTATTGTCTTTCTGAGGGGTTGTTGGTCTGAGAAACCGAAGCCAACTCTGTGAGCTCAGTTTTGCCCCGGCACTCACACGATGTCTTGTGAGTGCTGATTATTTATTGAGTATACTCGCCGTGGATCAGGGTTGTGAGCAACAAACTACTTCAACTAATGATTTTCTGTCATCCCTTTGGCTCATAGCTCCCCACAAACTCTTCTTGGGAGGTTGAAAGGCGCCACTGGTAGCCCCTACTTCTTTTCTTTTCCCTCTGAGTCTGTTGTTACTGTTTCGCTTTTTTCACCGCGCTAGATAACTTATCGTATCAATGTGCTTCTCTTTATTTAAACAAAAATAAAATAAGTCGTTTTATCTTCCAGGAATCCGTAAGGTGTTGTAATAGTGACTGGCTATCTCAGTATTTCATGCTTGGCATGACTATCGAAAGATTGGAGAATGATTTGCTTCTCTTCTAATATTGGCACAGCATTAGGCAAGAAGTCAGCCAAATTATGGGAGGTGAAGTCACACAAAATCAAGCGAATTGCAATTCTGTCTCCACAAGTCTACACAGTGGCCGTCAGCGAGGTTTTTCCTCCTCTACTTTGCCTGGAATTTAAATCCCCAAAATATCAATTTCAAAACGTTAACTATAGTGAAACCTGTCTAAGGTGGCCACCCATCGTCGAGGAGAAAAGTGGCCGCTTTAGACGGGTGGCTGTCTTACGCAGTGTCATTATAATGTATAAAATACACAAGGGAGGAAGTGGGAAGTGGCCGTTTGTACAGCTGACTTTCTTTTACGACTGTATTATCAACATCACACATATCAGTGTAGGCCTAGTATCTATCTATACTTATTGTGAGGATGCGTATGTGCTTGTCTGTAATTGTTGTGCATGCCCGCAAAACAGAAAGCAATAAAAGGGATAGACATAAAGACAGGGGGAGACAGAAAGGGGGTGCGGGGTGAGAGAGATTTTAGTGGGAGGAGCATTTATGATGTCGTATTCTGAGAGAAGAATGGCGGTACAATGTTACATAACTGTTATCGTATTCAGTTTTGTTTGTTTGCAATTATTTTTAAGCACTGAAACCTCACTGGGAGAGATGCTTTACAGATGAACTTTTTAAGAAGTTTCTCAACAAGGCGTCAACATTTACTTTGTTCTTAGTTCCCTGAGTTCACTGCAGCGAGACAAGTGACGCCGTATACCCCACGCTCAGCCGTCAAGCTTGTCCGATTTACAAGACAGATAAAAGTTCTCACGTTCAAAGGAAAAGTTATCGTGTTGTAAAATAAAACTCATTTGTGATAAACTGTTCCAGTTATCAGGCGTTGTGCTTCTCGCACATTTGATTAACACTGTTTTTATATCAGTGTCGGTGAAAAGAACAGAGAACCGGATACAGGACAGAGACAGAGACGAAAAAAGAGAAAGAGAGAGAAAGAGGGAGACACACAGAGACACAAAGATACATAAAGAGACATACAGAGAGAAGGAGAGAGAGAGAGAGAGAGAGAGAGAGAGAGAGA